GGAAAAAAAGGCTGTCTTCGGTTAATTTATTAATTAGTTAATTTTGTTTATTTCTTTATAAGAGCAACAAGAAGACAAAAATAATGAAAAAGAGTTTATTTTGATTGATCTTACTGTTATTATTATAATTATCATTATTATGTTTGAGATGTTTGAGATAAGAACTAAACTGAAGAATTTCACCAAATTCGTATACACATGCATGCATGCATGTATGTATGTATGTATGTATGTATGTATGTATGCGATCCTTTTTTATTAAATTTAAATCTGATAGTAATTACCGCGAGTAAAAATACTCGGATACTTTACAAAGCTGTGATGGTAGGTTTATAAACCAAGGGTAGAGAGAGGTACTTTATTAAACACGCAAACATATGTCTGGGTTAGGCGCATATATGTGACAAATCATCAAAGCAAAATCCAAATTACATTATTTGACTTTCGCATTGTTGTAAATATGCAAGCTCGTTTCATTAATGGGGTTTCATATTAGACAATATTTAAGCTTTCGGACTTTTAAATCCGGCGGTTATTTTCCTATTTGTCATTCTGGAGAAATCTATCCGTCCTCGATTATGGAGATTACATAACGCACACTCAAAATCAACTTATGTTTTCGTTTTCATATTAATAAATTAAATACACATGATCAAAAATACTCCACAGTTGGCTTGCATTGGTATTGACCGGGTCAGCCATGAGGAGGAGAAGAATCAGCCAACAGATGAGAATAAATAGTGTTCAAATGATGGAGACCGATGTTGAAGTAATTAAGATGACTTGCATTACATATTCTTTGATCAACTGGATTTTTTAAGGTGCTATTAATTAATTAATATGGTAATTGGGCGGCAAAAAACATTCAATTTCCAATTTTTATTTTTAAGCACAATAAGGAATGTGTTGCGGTATTGTAATAGCATTTTTAGCAATAATCTATTTAAATTTTCGCCCGAACAATAATATCCGGATGAAAACATTTGGTTTTGATTAGGAAATTTTGAATTAATTTTCTTAACGCCAACCAAGTCTCATTTGGCAAGCAAAAATATCTCTTTCCGTCTCTGAAATTTTGTGCATTTTAATTTGAGTAATTCTCAATGATAACTTCTCGGACCAGGAGTACATGAAATTACAAAATTACGTCGATCAACATTAATCAATTATCCATTCTTTTGAATATTAATTATTGTCATAGGTTAGGTTATTAATTACATGCGAATATGATTGGTTCTAATTATAGACAAAAATGTCTAAATGTCTAAATGTCTAAATTAATATAAATAGTAATGATTTGCTTTAAATACAACTAAAAGTCACGTGATATTCGCAAAATCCACAAAATTCAGTAAACTATCCAAGAAAAAATTCAATTCAGCATTTTAGACAATTGAGACCATGATTGTCTAAAATGTCTAAAATAATTTATATTTTAGACATTGTCTAAATAATTTAGATTAGATACCCATCTATAGTTCTAATAAACATGTAACAGAAACTCATTTCAGAAGCGTGTTGTAACTGTGGGCTATTCATTAATGAGCCCAAAAGAAAATTTCTCGGCCTTTCAGAACTCTTTCTAAATCGGAATAAGATATCTTATTAATGACCCAGCTGATAGCAGATGCCTCAAGAAGAAAACTCGTATGTCAACAAGGGAACTATTTGTTATTGCTGAAATCACACAATGCACCACTTTATAAAAATAAAAAAATATATTGCAGGGGAATAAGTTGAAAATATTAATAATCATATTGATGTCTATACAAAGCAATAAAGAGAAAAAGGACAATATCATGATTACCTTACCACCTTCTCTTCTAGGATCTTTGTGATTATGCATTGGGTAGAAAAAATGTAATCCACAAAGATTCCACATAATGAAAAGGCATGGAAGATAACGATCCTTTTACAATCTTATTACAAAATTTTTACAATGGTATTACAAATACTAGTGAAATATTATGGAAGTTATTGTAAAAATATTGTAAAACGGTTGTTATGCTCAATGCCTTTTCATTATGTGGATTTTTGTGAATTACATTTTTTCTACCAGCGATGGTGGAAAAGGCTTTCGTTGAACACATCACATTTAAAGATCTTTTGGAGAATTCTTTCTAAGGAACAAAAAACGTCATGAATTTTCTTGAATTCTTTCTCCTTGTCAGGTATCAACGATCTCCTCAGCAATTAATCTCCTGAACTAACCAAAGCTAGAAAAATATTTAATGTTTTTTAGTGGCAGTTCTTTTTGGAGGATTGATAACAGATGTTGACCGTTTGAGAGAAAACGAAATGATTTTATTGGTTTGCCAACCAAACGTTATTATTAATCGAAGCTTTCTCTTTAATATTTTTTTGCTTTATTTGCACTAGCGAGAATGGCCAATCAAAAAAATCACCAAGATCATTATCATCGGTTTCTCCCTTAAAAGCGTGGGTGAGACGATATCCTGTATCTCAATTCCCACCAAATATTTCTCTTAATGCTCTAATGGTAACAATGCTAGGTCCTACCACTAATACTAATGAGGTGTTATAAAATAGAAATTAACGGACCACTTGCAAATCATTTGCTGAAAATACTCAAATGTTGTGTTAATTACCTTCTTTAAACGGAAATAAGTTATAAACTGGGTTCCAAGATCGTCATTATTATTATTTTACATATAATTATTAGTCGCGGGACATTGAAGATCAAATGTCATTCAATATAAACGTTACACGAATAAAATCGTCCACTTCAAAAAAAAACTCCGTTTTTCATAATAAATTTTTTAGAGCCAGACTGGGACTTTTAACAACAGTTAAAAGAAAAGACTAGCTTAAGCATTGGTTATTCTACGCCAGGTCGAAAGCGTTTCTTTTATTCACACTTATTTAAGATTATCACTCAACTAGTATGCAGACTAAAGCAAATTCAGCAGCAATAGTTGTGCCAAAGTGTTACCTACAAAGTCGCTTATAACTACTTGGAAGGTTGTGTTAGAAAAATTTTGCTTTTAATTATAAGGGACTGATTTATAAGGTTATTAATTTATTTAGAATTTTAAAATTACATGGTCAAAATTTCAAAATAATAATAATAATAATAATAATAGTTAATTTATTGTTTGATAATTATGAATACAAAGAATTGGAGAAATAATAATTAACAATAAAGAAATTTATTTATTAATGATAGACCTTTGGCTGTACATCAAGCAAGGATTGAATATTCGGAACAAAGCTCTAAAGGGTTGTGGTGGTAATGATGGTGACAGTGGTAATAATCATAATTCCATGGATACAAGTTGGTAATAAAAAAATAAAAAAGTAATCAATAATTAATAGTTTATGCAACATTACATACATATCCTTTTAATAATTTATTATTAATAGTATATTGTTATTATAGGAATATTAATTGGAATGTTGTGATGTTGAATTTCTATCAAATACAAAAAAATAAACATCAGTGCTTGTAATCTTGAAATAATTGGTCATCTTCTGATCAATTGATATGACTTTAACTCAAAATTTTATGTTATTTATTTATATTAGTATAAATAAAACCATTAATAATCATTAATAAAATTTTCTTTTCTTTTAACCTATATACTACTTTTTTAATAATTAATTTCTGCTTTTTACTATTGCTTTGAATTACTTTGCAATTATAAATTTTGAAAAAGCGGACAAGAGTTTTAAAAATAGTAGTATATTACATATTAATATCATCACCATCAGATCCTGCTAATGCATTAATAAATAAATACTCTTTAATTTAATCATTACACTTCTAAATATATATAAAAAATAATAGAAAATGGATAAAAAAAATTAGTAATATATAGTATGAAGCTAATCTTTAAAAATATTAAAAAAACCAAATTATCTCCATTTTATTAATAGCCATTCTTGAAAAGAGTTGGAATACTCTTACCACACCTACCTCGGTTACACGAATCCCAACCCAGAACTCCCATGATTGGTAGAAAATAAGGAAATCTTATCTTAAAAAAACCTTGTCATGTAAACGATGTAGGTGTGGTAAGAGTTTTCAAAGAGTTGTTACATGAATTTGTTTTTGTTTGAAAATATTAAATAAATATCAATAAAATTTTGTTTGATACAATCTTCTATTTGATGATACCTCATTACCCTATTACCCAATTTGGCATCATTTGACCAGTAAAGAGAGAACCAATAGATTATATATAAACAAAGAAAAATGGGAGCACAAAAGAATTTTAAATCATGCACAAACATAACGACTTGATAGCTTTATTGACATAGTAATGCAATCTTGCAATTTTTTTATTGTATATTTTAATTATAATTGATCATGTCATTAATAAAACAAACATGACTTAGCAATTTAATCATTTCCTTCATTCCCTTGCATGTGAATGCCTCCATCCATCAAATATTCATGATG